ATTGCCTAGTGCATGAAACAGCCTGTAGAGTGAAATTACAAGTTCCTTATTATTAGTATTATTATATATATATATATATATACATATATATAATGTGTGTGTGTGTGTGTGTTATTTAACATCATCATGCCCATATATGGTTATCTCACATCATCATTTGGGGAGGATAAAAGATTTTCTACTTAAAAGAGTTTAGTCCTTAGGTTTACTTGTACTTAGAGCTTTAGTCGATTATCAGACTGAGGCAGTGGATTCCTTCGTGTTTTTCAAAATATTGGCCAGTAATGGCACTCTAATATTTTTCTACCTTTAATACCATGCACGTGAACCATGGTGTACTACAAACTTGAATGGACCAACCACTCAAATATACATCCACTCGCGCTATCAGAAAATTTGGCCAAATGCATAAAGTTTTCGAGTAGGTGATGCCACTATCTTTCCATCTGTTGCCGTTTGCAATGTTGGGGAGTCGTTTGACTTGACTTTGTCATTGACACACCATGTAGGCAGCATGTGTAAATCTGCATCGTACTACATCTGAAACATCAATCAGATTTAAGATGCTTTCGAATGAAGATGCTGCATTAAAGCCGGTACATTCTCTTTTACTGTAACATCTAGAACTGATTATTATAACAGGGTCCTTTATGGATTAATGGACAAATTAATCAAGAAAGATACAGCTTCAGCTAAATACAGCAGCCTGTGTTATCAAATGACTACCCAAAGGACAGCTCATCACCCCTACTCTTAAAACTCTCCATTGGCTACCAGTTAAACAGCGATTTCCATTCAAAGTTCTTGTTCACACATACAAGTGCCATCATAATTCCTCCCTGTTATATCTGAGTGAACTAAATCCTTTTTCGCTCAGCAACCCATAGTTTGCGGAGCGATGCTGTAAAGCACGTAGAAACTATGTATGCGCTATAGTCTCCAACCATTACCACTACCAAATTTCAAATCTTCCTTTTGACACACTCTGTACTCTAATGGCCAACTCAGACAACATCGGCCGACGCAGCCCGACGCGATTTGTTGTCGCGTCGGGTCTGCGTGAGTTAAACGCAGACGAGATGGAGTGCGTCGGGGGCAGTTGTGTCATAGAATATTAAACATGTTAAATATTTCTCACGACTGCTCAAGACTGTCCCTGACGATAAATCGGGTCGGGCTGCGTCGGCCGACGCTGTCTGAGTCGGCCTTAAGCTACACTTCACATACAGAAAACAGTTTGATGGAGAGACCACAGATTTCCATGGTTCAGCACGCACACAATAGTCACCTTTAGTTTTAAAACGGTGCTGTGACGCTCCCGTCTGTATAAATTCTAACTATTGCTCTGTTGTTTTATGTAGGTCATCGGACAGGTCAACTCTTCTGGATGGTTAAAGCGCACTTTGTTTTCTATGGCACTAAATTCAAAGAAGAAAGCATTTGACAGGTAAAATACTCTGGGAATTAAAAGTGACAAAGTATGTATATATAGCAACCCACATTAAAATGGTAAAAAATGTCTGTTTTTATTGGGTTGTTGTATTTTTTTTTTCTTAATACCACTAAAACATCTCTGGCCTAGTTCAGACTAGGTGGATAAACCCGGCCAGTCTGAACAAGGTGGCTTATCTCAAGCCGGGCTGTGTTCCTATAGTAACTAGGCCTGGTGCGCTATCCATGTTTAACTTTTCTAAGCCGGGCTTTAATCATTGCGGTGGGTCTTACATTGACTTCGGGTGACAAAATGACCAATCAGCATTCAATTACGTATGCTGTGAGCGAGCGCACTTTCCCGAGCAATGTTTTGAAACACGTTTCCTGGATACGGTTCATTATTATGCAAATTCTCGTCTGGCTAAACCTGCTAGTCTGAACGCCGGGCTTAACGTTGAGCCGGGCTTAACTCAAGCCTGGCTTATCTCCAAGTCTGGCTTATCTCCAAGTCTGAACATAGCCTCTTACTTGCTAAACATCAAAGAAAGGAGGCAAGAACTAATATCTGGCCAACAAGTGCTCCTGGACATCCCAAGGAGCAAACATCATAGGGGAGATCAAGCTTTCAGCACTGTTGGAGGTTCTGGAATAATCTTCTTTTAAACATTAAACAATCACCTTCACTTGTCAGTTTTAAGTCACTACTCAAGATGCACCTTTTTTAAATAGTGGCTACGGTCACACTAGCGTCTCAAGCCTGGCTTGACTCACCGCGGGTGAGATTTCAAGCCAGGCTTGAAATTCTGGGCCGGTCACACTAGTTGGATTGACCTCCAAATTATGAAAGTCGAAACAGCAGAGCCGTAGAGTGAGAGTTTGGCCAACTCTGTTTCACAGGATTCGATATACGCGCGTGTGATTGGGTGGATGGCAATCAAAGATTTTACACCAGACGTGCCCGAACCATCTCTTCTTCAACTGATCTTTTATTAGCTTGTATTGGGCTCGCAATGCCTTCACTTTTGTTTGAATTTGGGCCGTCGTTCTCTTCTCATGTCCGAGACTGGCTAATCTGTCAGCAAACACGCCAAAAAATCTTCCAGGTCAGCAGTTTCCTGGTCGCTCCAAATCAATCGCATTATTATTAATTAAAATTTCAATTAACTTTTATGAAAAGTAATGATTGCGTCTTGATAGGCCTTTTTCACGAATCGGTAGACATCTTGAAGTGATGACAAACATTGCGAATCAGCGGTGCGTAACCAACAGAAATAAGATAAGCTTTTGGGCTGATTTTCTGACATCATGTTGTTTAAAAAATCATAACTCCATAACGGGGCGTCATATCCAAAAAATGTTTCCAGGAAAATGTTCTCAAAAGACCAGTCTACACCACTACATGACTGAAAATAGTATAGTAAATCATGTTTTTAACACAGGAAACTCTCATATGGTAACTAAAACAATGCTGTTCAGAGTATTACTAGTACTAAGCACTGTAATGCATATACCTATTTTAATACACTACTGAGATAGGCTTTTATTTTTCAATCTTGATTTCAGAGGTCAAAACAAATTTTCAATTTTTTTTCAATCATATAGTGGTGTAGACTAGTCTTTTAAGAACATTTTGTTAGAAAATTTTTTTGGATACGACGCCCCATTATACAGTTATGATTTTTTAAATAACATGATGTCAAAAAATCCGCCCAAAAGCTTATCTTATTTCTGTTGGTTACGCACCGCTGATTCGCAATGTTTGTCATCACTTGAAGATGTCTACCGATTCGTAAAAAAGGTCTATTGAACACACATGAAGAACTCGCAGGTTTTTTTATTTAAGAACTTCTAAATGCAACGGCGTCATCGACTGTGATTTGTCGACAGCCGACGAGGAAATGTCAATCTCGGTCACGCCAGGGTCAATCCAGGATCAATCCAGGGTCAATATTGGTGCTGAGCCGGGATCGAGATAGGTAGATTGAGATCCAGGTCACGCCAGGCGTGAGTCGGTGCAGATGCGGTCACATTACGAAAATCTCACCCACGGTGAGTCAAGCCAGGCTTGAAACTCTAGTGTGACCGTAGCCAGTATCTTTTTGGAACAGCACCATGTGCAATGACTGGAACTATTAATTGATTGAGTGATTGATAATTCGATTGACAAGGTGAACAGAGGTATATAATCTACATATATTTGGACAAAACAAATTAATTAGGATCTAGTCACAAACAATTGTACTGAAATTAGTAATTTTAGATAAATTTAATTAGTTGTCTATAAGCTTACACTGGCTGTACAGTGTACTCCATGTAGTTAACTTTCTGTTCCATACTTTCAGAGGGGAAATTCAGTTTGACACCATTTGGGATAAACTAGTGTTCAAGAAGATTCAGGTAGATATTGAGATTGTTTTAATTATTGTGAAAGTATCTATAATTTATTTTATATCCGGTGTTTTGAACGATAAGATATAACCACTTCCCAGAGACATTTTCTATAAAATTTATAGTTTTATAATATAATATATTTTTTATAATAATTATTTGTTAAATGTTGAATATCATTCTCATCTATTAGTTGCTGACTCATCACCTATAGCACAGGTGAGCAGAGTGCAGCCCGATAGTTGTTTTTTTTTTGCAGCTCGCGAAAATAAATTACAAACCCTACAGTATGTGTGCAGCCCGCCAACCTTCTTTGGCTAGAAAACACCTTGTTTTTTGCAGCCCAACACCGATCATCTGTAAAAGTAATAGTAAAACTGAGCATAAAGTGGCCATAAAAAGTGTGTGAAGGTTTTGGTGAAGTGCACTGAAACATCAAAGTTTGGGTGCGGCCCACAGAGTTGAATCAAAAACTTTGGCCCTCCTACCAATTTTAATGGCCGCCCCTGACCTATAAGATGGAAATTCTTTTCTATAAACTAGATGGCATTATGATTCTTAAGCTAGTGACTTGACCCAAATCAACTGACATTAACGACCTTCGGACAGCCAGCAGTCGGCAAGCAAATATACGCCAGTGCTTCTTGTAATTACTTTAAGATGGAATAAATAAACAATTCCTCCATAGTAATTTAAGATAAATATGATGATTTTACCATTACTGTATGGGTATCTTGGCTCTACTTGCAGGGAATCATGGGTGGTGAACTCAGGTTATTGGTCTCTGGGGCTGCCCCATTGTCTGCTGATAAGATGCTCTTCTTCAGGTCAGCTATGGGATGCTGGGTAAGTATGTCACATGTCACACAAAACAGCAATAAAGCTGTTCATACTACCAAATTTTATTTGACAAAAACATATGTGACATGCCTAAATATGGTCATGATGATATCACATCATGACCATATATAGACACATCATCAAGAAAATGTGGTAATGGAAAGACAATATATTAAGTATGAAAATAATGGTGGCCATTGTAGTGAAATATATGTAATGTCCTGGCAACGCTTGTCCGGGGTTCTCTATCATGGCGTGTGATCCAATAAACACGAGTACCGATAGTCTGTGTCCCGTGTGCTATTTATTAGTCCAATATTAACATTTAGAAAACCCACAAGTGGCAACATGGTGTCAGAAGTGTTGTAGCACCCATGATCGACGTGAGGACCGTGAGAGGTGTAACATTTCAGAGTTATAAGAAGAAACCGTGAGTACATTTCACCACCTCTACGCTCGTTAGGCCGGTGAGCAGTTGAACGCATCGTGGACCGCCTAGCGAAGCAGATTTTATGACTCGGAGCCTAGGCCTAAGCCTAGCAATAGGAGCGGTATTATATTTTGAAGAAATCCGCCTAGAGCACGCTAATACTTCCTGTTGTCGCCTATTTTTGGTGGATTGAGTAGCTGGAAGTAGGTTGGCACGTACAGTATAGAGAGATGGCCTCATACTTGATTCCAGCTCCTTCGCCCATGAACTGTAAAGGGCCTACCGAAAGTAATTGGAAAAACTTTGTTGAATCATACACAGATTATTCAACTGCAACAGAGCTAAATAAAAAAGATGCAAGCATACAAGTTGCAACACTGAAATCATTGATGGGTCAAGATTGCAAAAAAGTACTGAAAGGGCTAAAACTTTCAGCAGAGCAGATGGCTGACCCAAAACAAATATTAGCTGCACTAGAAGAAGCATTTGTGATAAAACACAATGTATTATATGAAAGGTTTCAATTCCATTCTGCAACACAGCAGTCTGAGGAATCGATAGAGCAATTTGTTGATCGTCTTCGTCACTTGGCAGCCACTTGCAAGTTTGAAACATTAGAAGATGAGATGGT